CAGTGGGGCCCCGAACAGCAAGGGGAGGAGCGATGGTATTCTAGACCACTTTATCCACAGTCTTTCCAAAGTGTGGCATCTAATCATGATGATTCTATCAATAGAATATACATTTATGTTAACTGTGGTTCATGCTTCCTGGCCAGCGCTGCAGTGGTCAGAACTGGGAAACAAATGGTACTATTTCAGTTTTTTTTTTTCTCTGATTTTTAAACTAAGAGTCACCTGACATCCCCAATCATCTTTCTAATATCGTGACTTTTCAAAGGACGTTTGAGGGCGACTCTTGGTTCCTCATGGCAGCTCGGAAGCATCTCATTAAAAAGCACAGCATTTGTTCAACAATTTAGATGATTTCTGGCCCGGTGGGTGGTGCTGGGTATGCATGAGGTGGCTGGAGGCATCGCTGCCGGCGAAGTGGGGCGAAAACCAGGCTTTGTGGGTATGTAGACTGCAAGTAGCAAACTGCAGGCTGTGAACTTTTTTTAAAAATTAAAACATATGAGAAAAAAATAAGAAATTTATAGAAAAAATCAAAATTAGCATAATATCATTTACTGATGGGTGGCTGGGCTAACTCTTACCAGGTAAACCATTTATTATGTCTCTGTTTAATTCTCTAGCAGAGTGTTATTTTCCCAAGCCAAGACACAGATTCCCCGAAACTGTTGTATGATTTCAGCTCAGACACAAGCTGAGAATTCAGGGTGCCTGACAGTAATGTTTGTTTGTAAAAACACTGGAATTCCTTCAGCAGGGTCTTTGATCAGAGATGCACAAAAGCCAACTTCTGTCTTGCCCTGTTTCAGGAGCCGGTGTGATGCCTGCTATTTCTAGCTTTCCCATGATTTATTAATATCTGCTGAAATCTTCTGACTTGCATTGTTTTTCTTTTAGAGTGAACAACCCAGTACTTAGGTCAGAGCCAAGCATATAATAACCTCCTTTTTATGGATAAACTTGGTTAAAAAAAAACAAGTAAAGGAAAATTATTGTGTTAATTACAGCTAAGAAGTTAGACTTTCATGTATATCATTTTATATTTACGTGTGCATGTTTTAAAATGAAAATTCAAAATAGACCGGCCACAATGTTTTAATAGAAGATACAGCTACATAGTCGTGCGCATTCCAGTGTTTGTGGCGGTTACATCCCTCGGGGCAGAGCAATGGAAACCCAGAATGAAGCGTGCTCCCTGTACCTGCCTACGAGCCATGAAGAAACCCCCAGGAGTTTGGAAATGGTGGGTAGAAGTTGCAGCCCGTAGACTTGCAGCTCAGTGTGTAAAATGACAGCCGTGCAGGGCAGAAGGCAAGAGCTAGATCTCTCTGGAAGAGCACGAAGGGAGCTGGTCCCCCTGTCCCTGTACCCACATCGCGTCTTGTTCTGACTGTTGACCCCGAGTCGTGTCGGGGACTGTGTCCCGAGCCTCTGCGGGTCTCCTATAATTCTTGTGGCCGCCCTGGGGGCTCGGTGGTCAGGCGACCCATGTCACAGACACGGAAATGAGGCTCGGAAGGTTAAAAAGTGTGAGGTCCTCTGGCTAGTCAGTAAGGAAATGGAGCCAAGATGAGAACAGCGTGTTTTTTGTTTGTTTGTTTTATCTCTAGAGCAAGGCTGCCCTGAAGACCCCCGAGGTTGATGTTGAACCTGAGGTCTCCCTGCAGAGCCCGCAGGATAGACGGGGAGGGTGCAGGTCACGCAGAAAAGACTGGCAGGGAAGCCGTGGGCCGGCTTTCGTTGATCGTAGCTCATTCCAGTGATTTTTCCAGTGTTTTTCCACCTAACCGCCGGGACTGTCCTCGGCTGCCAGCAGCGACAGTCAACACAGTCACACATTTTGAAATGTGGCTGGAAACTCCCAGATTAAATATTCTCTGAGGCTTATAACTTCCCCAAACTTTATTATTTCAAGCTGGTTATAGTTTTGATGGAGTCCCTGGGAATCTAGGACTGAAAAGTATTGACAACACAGCCAGAAAATGGGGACTCCGTGGCTACATCAGGTTCCCGGAGTTGATGAGATCTGATGTAGATTTCGTGTTTATCGCCTCTTTGGCTTGAGAAGATTGCTCGTTCTGTTTGGAGCGTGGGCTGCCGTCTCCGCAGGGGACGCGGTCCGTGTGCCGTTTCCAAGCGATAACACCATTTACTCGTTTTCCTAGAACAGCGGCATCCATATTACGTTTTCTTAAATTTTCCTATAAATTTTTCGTGTTGAAGTTAGTGCGTTTTTTTTCTTCTCAAAAGTTGTTTTGGAAAACTCAGGAAATAGTGTTTTTTGTTTTTTTTTTTTTAATTTTAAATTGCTTAATTGGAGTACAAGGAACTACAGTGTTTAGAGTGCTCTAAAGTAGTTTTCCAGCTCAGGAAAGTTCCTTTATGATCAGTGTGAGTCGCATTCCTCTCTTCGTATTCACGAATGAACAGTAAGGAAAAAATGTGTTCTGTTGTGGTTAGCTTGATGCCATTATGGAAAATAAATAATAAAGCACTGCTCCACTTTACTGCTAATCCTTAAATTGCCTCACTTGATGCAAAACAAAAGCTTTCTTACTAGACTTATCTTGAATATGTTTCCAGTTGAAGAGATGTAGCCATTGTTTAGGTAATGTGCGTTGCTTACGAACCCTCTTATTTAAATATGCTTCCGAAAACCGTGCATCTTTTGACCTTTAAACTATAGAAATACTCCCACCCAGCCCCTCTCCTGGGTGCACAAGTAATGGATAAGACGTCGTTTCTGCATCCGAGAAGCTCCCAGTGGGGTGAAGGGGTTGCGTGTAGGAAGCTGCCCGTCACAAGATTTCGGGAACCATCCCTGAAGTTTACATGACCTGGGAAGAGAGCACAGGTGGGGGAAGGATTCACTTAACCTTGCGGAGGGGAGGAAAGGTCAAAGAAAACTCCCACCGTTTCCTGTGTAAAAGCAAATGTGGCCTTCCAGGTGCGGACTGGTGACTCTGACCTCCGCTGTTTGAGGTCCGACAGGCTCCCTTCTGGGGTTCTTTTCCGAACACATCCTTTGCTCACAATGCGTTGCCTTTTGGCTCCAGCAGTTAGTATTAGAGGCACAGAGAGGTGGGTCATTCTGTGAAGGACAGACAGACCCGAGGGTCAGCATTCCAGCCTATGGGGGTTTCTTCCGTCCCTGCCCTGGAGCACCAAGATGCCATGTCCTAATTTTTTGCAAGGGAATTGCACGTGGTGATGGTTGTTTTTTTAAGGATTCTCAGAGAAGTTGCCATCGGAGGCCTCCTGAGCAGAGGGAGAGTCTGATGGCGAGAGACCCAGAGAAAGGTAGGAATGGAGGATGACGCAGGAGTCTTCCAGTAGGGGGACCGGGCGAGTGGTCTCCTGTTAGCTAGCGAGGGTGACACCGAAGTTTATCTGGGTGCCGGCGTGGAAAATGAGCTCCGTTGTTGGCACATTGAGGTGGGGGAGTCTTGAAGAATTTCACGGATTATTTTTTGATTCTTCCCAGTTCGCATTATTAAGCATCTTAAGTGATCAGGTGTCCAGAACACACGTGAGAAACAGTTTATTCTCAGTATCCTCGTAGCCTTTTGGAGAGAGAGAGAGACAAGGCAGTGATTACGAGGCGCGTTTGGATGCGCTGTGGCAGGAACAGCCACAGGTTCTGAGGGGAGCCTGGGAGGGTTGGCTGCCCGGTGGGGTCTGAGGGTGGGAATGGGGAGGAGAGAAGGGGCGTACGAGCAAAGAGTTTGTCCGAGCGTCCCCCGTGGGGTTCCAGGGGCTTGAAGGTAGGAAGGGGAAAGAGTGGGAAACATTTCAGGCAGAAATATTTGCGTCTGTGTTGAGGCCTCATCACTCACGAAGGACTCAGGGATCCGTGGGAGCGGCTGGCGTCTCCAAGGACACCTGGGGGGTTTCGGGCGCAGAAAGCCTGGGGCATCAAATACAAGGTCGCCATAACAGAACCCCAGCAGGAAACGCCTGCAGCACTGTCCGTCTTCTTTGTAGAAAAATCTACAGATAATTCCAGGAATCTTTCAAGAAAGAGATGGTCACTTGGGCTCCAGGGTCCGGCCCAGCACTGGCCAAGGTCATGTCCTCTCCTGCCGCCACCCCCAGTGCCGGGGAGAGCCAGGCATGCCCTGTGGCCCGGCCCCTTTCCTCCACAGACACAGAGGTTCCCCTCCTGACACTCTAAGGGACCCTGCAGTATCCACGGTGAAAAGGCTGCCTAGTCTTCCTGTGTCCTCCATCCCACCTGCCCTGCTCAGGGTTGTCGTGTGTCCGTTCACTGTCGATGCACCCCGTGCGGTGCTAGATTGTGGGTGTCACGCCTCCTCACTTGGTGCATTATTCCCGATGGCCTGTGACCGTCAGGGGAGTCTGTGCACAGAACGTTGCTCCATTCCTGCCCGGCCTGCCCTCGGGCATGTCCAGGCTTGTCTGATCCCGGGGTGACGGCCACTTTCACAAGGCCACCTTACCCCGGGACCAGGACCCTTGCTGCCCGCTCTCTCGGGAGAAGAGGACAACGTGGGACATTCCCACGTTTCCCACGCTTGTCCCATCGTGTGTTTTTCCTGCTCATTTCACTTCTTCCCTTGTGTTTCCTGGCTGGGTTGGGACGGCTCTTCCCCCCATGGAACAATGCCGTATGCTATTGTGGAATTGGCTCCTGTTTGGGTCTTCTGTGGGGGGTGGGGGGGTTGATTCGATTCCTCCTCGTGTCCCTTGAATCCTTCTTAAGGCTCTCCATACCTCGTTACTCCAGCTCGGGGGAGAGTTGAATACCTCATCTCCTTCCCAGTCAGTACTGGGCACGTATTTTCCCCCTGGTTCCCTGTGCAGAATCCCGATGAGCCCTTTTGAAAACTCGTCATTGGCTGTGACTTTAGAGCAGCAATTTATGGAAAGTGACTGTGTTAGAGATATTTTATTGCTGTGCACAGAGCTGTGACACGCAAGGCACCATGAAGACTGACAAATACAAATGAGAGACATGTCCCTTTCTCCCTGTGTTTTAGCCCTCTCTGAATCCCGGAGGGAGCCAGTCGTCCGACGTGGTGCTTTTGAACCACTGGAAAGTGAGGAATTTCGAAGTCCAGCGTGGCGACATCGTGTCATTGGTGTGAGTAGATCAGAAACATACTGTGCTTGTACATGAATTGTAATGATGTGGTTTAACTGGTAATCTGCTGCTAATGCCACATTGTCAATTCCTACATTGCCGGTACATTTAGAATTGAATGTGTTTTTAAAAATCAATTTTGAAATGCAATGATGCTATAAAAAAGTTTTTCTTTTGTATTTAAAATGTACCAGTTGATCGACCTACTTGGATTTGGCAAAAAGCGTTTAATGAGATGTTGATTGGAAGTTGTTATACTGACGATTAAAATACATGTATTTGGTATTAGTTTTGATGATTTCAAAACTTTGCATCTTGGAAGCAATCTTTTATTCTCATGTTTCATTCCTCTGTGTACATACGAAATATTTCTAGAGTACGATAAGTGTGATGTGAAATTCGGTGACATATCAGTTCGGTGGCGTATCTGGGAGTACTTCAGTGGACAAAAGGAGGTTTGGAAGACAGGTCCACTGGAGGCTTCTGTTTGAGACCACAGGTGGCGCTGTTGCTCTGTAAAAGTAGGACGGCTGGTTGGGAACCTGAATTTCATTCCAGTCTTGGTGTAGAAAAGGAATGGCAAAGTGTGTATAATTGACACAATGATATAATACATAGTCCCCGCATGTGCTTGCATGGTTAGATTTGAGATTTTCCTGTTTGTTTGTTTTCAGAGTAAATTCTCACTGAGAGGACGGCAACAGAACTTGCCTGATTTCTTCTGGTTTTCAGCCACTTCAAAAAATGTTTTCATGTGATTCCATATTATTCCAGTTGGTGCACTGGGATAGCAATTAACCGAGTCGTTCTTGCCATGTACTTTGACAACAGTAAAAGTCCCATCGTTTGGGGAAAGCTTCCATTTTATATTTGTGATTCTCCAATGGGAATGCCTGTTTCTTGTTGGATGGTATTTGTCATTGTTTGCTGGAAGCGAACCATCATCTGCCCGTTTACACTTACCTTTCACACGCGCTGTGTGGAAACAGGTATCTTATAAGTGTGTCTCTGTCCGGCCTGCTCAACCAGCCTGCCTTTGAAAATCTGTGAGCTAATCTGCTTGGTAACTGATGGAATACGTACATCTGAGCGGAGCTGCGTGTGGCAGACGTCCGGAAATGGGATTAAATGCTCCTTGTGCTCTGGAGGCTCTCTGTGCTGCCGGCCTGCTCTGCAGAGGATGCTTCTAGCCTGTCATTCCCAGGGCCGCTCGTGCAGCCTGGGCAGCGCCCCCTTCCACGCCGGGTCAGCCCGCCGGGCGCTCATGGTTCTTCCGCCTTTGCTCTGACAAGGGTGATGGAGGGGGTGCCCACCCAAGTGAAAGAGGTCACACTGTACGCAGACAACTGTGCATTGTTTTTTTCCATTAGAAGCATGCTGACTGTCTCTCAGCTAGTGAATATGAGCAGGTAATTGGGGGGAAAAAAGCTCCTTGCAATTCAGGGTTGCATGGTCCCTGAAAGTATATGACATTAGCCTGTCATATACTACTTAGAAAACAAGGAGAGCAATGCTCTTTTATGTAAATGTTAACTATAGTCATTTATTATATTTACAATACAATAAATATAATAACATTTTTACTTATTATATACATTAATTTCAAAAAGGGTATATTCAAATGGATGTTGAGAGAATACATTATGGCTCCTTTGGCTGAGCTGTATTTCTATTGAGTTAGTTATGTGCTTTATCTGTCTTGTTAGAAGTAACGAGTTTCCTTTGACAATGCTTGTTGATGGCAGGAGCTACTGTGTAAAAGAATGCTTACTGATTGGCATTGTATTATTTAACAACAAATAGTTAAGTATTAATTGTTTCTTCCTTTGAGAAATAAAAAGTCATCCTAAATTCTTCTTCAGTATGAGGTCATGCTATAAAAGATACTGTTTAAAGTGCATTTTTACTTTTATGAGCAAAAATGCTTTCTAGACACATCTTTATATTTTTATATATTTTATAGACTGCTTCGTTTGAAAAAAATTGATGTTGGCATGATGAATGCTCATAATACATGTTTAATTCACAGAAAAACACTAAATATTTGCTTTTCTTAGAAAATGCATCCATCTGGTCTTAACTTAGACAGTAATTGTCAGCATTACATTGGGATATCCTGTTTAAGAAATGTATGACTCATCCAGAAATGCATGACTAAAATTTGAATTTATGGCTAAATATAAAATGTATAAAATACAAATCAATATTAAGCACACATTTCGCTGATATATAATTCATCTTTGGAAACGAGAAATTATGATAGTCTATATTTTAAATAGTCCCGGAATAGCGTTTTGCACATTCTGTTCAGAGTATGTGGAGGTACAGCGTTTCTACTGTATTACACATGCCTTTCTCGCACACTTCTCAGTGTGCATATTCATGCTTAAATTAGCAGGGCTTCTGCAGCTTCGTAACCGGAATACTAATGAAAAGAATAGCACTTCCATTAAAAATGCTAGCACTTTAAAAAAGACATGAACTTTCTGATAAGAAAACACTGCAGTAAATGTAGGATTCTACTTGAAACAACAGTGGTGGAGGTGGCTTGATGGAAGGCAGCAGAAGCAAGGGTCAAAGGGGTCGAGGCTGCCTGTGTGTGCAGAGCAATAGGGGCGTTGTCTGGAGAAAACACAAGGAGAGAAAAGTAGCAAGCTTTGTGCAAAGTGCACTAATACCAGAGATGTTTGCTTTGCTCATTGCCATGTGTTACTTTGTGTATATATGTGTGTGTATGTATATAAATGTATACAGACACATATATAGTATGTACTTTATTAAGATCAGTGTTCACCTTGCAATAAGCACTTCTAGGGGGAGGGTCGAATGCATAATGCAGGTTCTTTCCTGGCGTACTGGGCCAGCAAAGTTAGACTTCAGGTGCTGTTATGAATGAAACAGAACATGGATGCCGTGGGGGAAAGAAATCACATGTGAACCAGTGCAGCCTCTGCCTCATACGGAAACCCTTTCTGCACTTACCAATTGCCTGTGAGCCTGATTCATGGTGAGCTACAGAGACAAAAGCTGGGGCAGAAGCACCCGTCCCGATTTCATCTCGGTGGGCGGCGGGGGTTCTTCAGAACCCACTGACCATTGCTGTTTCTTAGAGCTGGCTGTCTGGGTGGGGGTAGTGGGGGGGTGCACGGGCTGCAACGTGCTTCTTTGCTCCTCTTCCTTATCTTTTCCTGCCACTTTCTTTCTGTAAAAAGCTGACCTCAGGGGACCTGCTGTTTCAGCCTGTTACTCAGTGATGCTAAGTGAAAAGGTACGTTTACTTAGTGGAGTAGCAGGGCTGGTTGGGAGAACATCAGTCTCAAGTGCTCAGTGTTACTACGTAGGTAGGTGACGTCATACTGTCTTGGTGGGTTTGCAAACCAATAGTGGTAAGTAAGGTGGGTCCTCTGCACCTTGGAATTGACTTTCTGTTAGCCTGTGTCATGGCCATACTGCCGTCCGCTCAGCGTATGTGGTGCTGTGTTCCAGCAGCGTATCAATGAACGGTCTGTCGGGACAGTATCAAATAATCACATTTAAAAGTACATTGACTTTCTCTTGTGAAATATTAGACTTGAAGAGAAGTTATAAAAACAGTATAGGGAGTTTCCCTATGTCCCCCCTAATGTCTTTTCAAGCTCCGTTGGGGGCATCATTGGCAAATGACGTGGTCAGGCACTGGGAGTGTGCGCTGGGATGATGTGATGTGCGGGGACACTGGGAAAGGATCCCCGCTGAGTTGAGTAGCACAGTCATTATCTCACATATGTGCCTTTTGGGGGGCGGGGTGAGCGGACTGGAGTTCTACTCTCAGTGGATTTCACCGATCGATACCATACGGCGTTGTCACCTACAGTCTTCACGGTGTCCATTGGGTGCTCAGACTTCGGTCATCGTACACCACTGCTGTGCGCAACCGCGGGACCGTCACCGGAGCCAGGAAACTGACGTTGGTGCCGTCCTGGTCACTAATCCGTGGAGCTTATTGGAGTTTCACCACTGTTCCCAGCAATGTCCCTCTTCTAGACCAGATCCTTGGTTGGTCTTTGTCCTTTTGACAGGGACAGGTTTGAAAGGTCCTGGCCAGTGACTCTGTAGAATGACCCTCACCTGTTTAATTTCCCAGTCCACCTTCCGATGGAGAAGCATTGCTGTCACCGGCGGTTGCTGAGGCAGCTGCGGTGGGAGGTGACAGTGGGCGGGTGGGGGGGACAGGGCCAGAGGAGAGGGAGCTTCTCAGGTGCATGCCTTTTTAGTTTCTTGGGACCACATACCTGGCTCACATCTGAGAGGGTCCATGGCTTCTGTAAGTCTGCACAGTCAAGTTCACAGCTCTTGGGAATCAAGGAGGAGCCATGCAAGTCAGGTGGCGGGGGGTGGGGGGGAGCTGTGGTGTATGGCAGAGCGGGTGGGGAGCTGAGGGTCAGGGTCACAGCTTGTACAGCATGAAGACAGTGTTCTCCAAGTTCACGGGAGGGGGGGGTGGGGGAATTCTCATTCATAAGGCACCACTGCAGAGCAGGCCTCGTGCTAAGAGCTCCGTGATTTGTATCGAATTCACGTAGCAATATCTGGAGATTGTTATCTTTAACCCAGTGGAACTGGGAGTTAGCAGTGGATGGCAAGGAAACAGAGCGAGAGTCTGAACCTGGGTCCGTTTGACCGTGAACCTGTTCCGTCCGGCACCGTGGGTGCATGCGTGGCTGCTGAGCACTTGCGGTGAGGCTTCTGACAGTTGTGTTTTCTCTTCTCTTTTTAAATTTTATTGAGTTTATGGGGGTGACACTATTTAATAAAATTATATAGGTTTCAAGCCCGTTTTTAAAGATGATTATATTTTGGACATATTCAGTCCAGTATCTCATTGTAGTTAATTTCACCTGTTCTTTTTCCTTTTGTGACATGGCCAGTAGAAAATTCGAAATTACACGCGACACCCTTGGCATGTGGGTCGGAGGGCGCTGTGTCTGGACTTTCTCCCGCCATCCTTGGCTGCACTCCGGGAGTACATCTAATGTGGTGGTCTGAGGTGTGACCCTCCGGTCCGGGCGGGACCACACCGTGGTGGCTGTTACGGTGCAAGGCAGACCCCCCAAATAGGTCAGCACTCCGTGCCAGTGAGAGTGTTGGGGTGACCACGTCCCAGATAAAGGGAACAGGACACGCAGGATACAGAGAGAGCAGCTTTTATGTATCAACCCCTCACTGTTTTCTAATCCCTGGGCTAATTAATGCTTCTGCACTCACTTTTATGTCTTGTTTAAGAAATCCAACCACGTGGATACTGCCGTTGCTCCTTTTTGCACACGAGAGCTCTGGGCCGCGGGGAGGTGCGGGGACTGCTGTAAGGACTCGAAGCCGGTGAAAGCTGGCGCAGAGGGCCGGGCGCCCCCCACCCAGTCCCGTGATCCTCACCGTCACCTGGCAACGCCTCTGTGGACCGTGGCGACGGGTTGCCCGCCCGGGGACACTTACTCATTCTCCACTCAGACGTCAGCCCAGCCCCAGCGTTGCTGCACCTTCCCATTTCCGTACGGAAGTTTCTGAAGCCGTGGGTCCTGAAACGAAGCCTTCATCAGTAGCAGTCACGCTTTGTCATGAGCATGTCATGTGCCTGCAATGTTGACAGCTGGTTCGGGGCTGCTGCATTCTTGCCCCTGACAGACAGCGGGTCCCTGTGACGGCTGCACCTCTCGCCGTGACCGCGAGCAGCAGAGAGTTATGAAGCTCTGAGCCAGGAAATGGATGAAACAGAAAAACGGCAGGGGCCAGTTCCTCAGTGCCCTGAGTGCTTGTAGATCTTTGCAGGGCCTTTGGCCCCCCCACCCCCAGGGAAATTAACTGGAGCCTGCTAGAAACTGAAAGCATGTTTTGAAACAAATGCCCAGAGCAAGAATAACTGAATAATGGACCCATAATTGCATTAAAAGCTGGTTAGTTTTCTGTTGAGCTGGGAGAATATCATTGTGTATACTTATCTGTTCTATCTGCATTGATTCCTAATTTTCTTTTGTTGATAGCCAAATGTTTTTCTGAGGTTGTAGTTAGTATTGTATATTTCAGGAACAGAACTTTCCAAAGACAATGACTTTGAAAAAAAAAAAAAGCTCTATGGGCATGGTGAAGTACCTGATTTTATTTTGGGGTATTAAAAAATTAATTGTAAAAGTGTTGGAGTGTGGTGTCTGGGTTGCAGTCGATTTTGAAGAGAGATTTAGATTGAGGAACTTTAAATTACGAAGAGTAATCTGCACTCCTTCCTAAGCAGACTTACAAAGGATACTTTAAAAGAAAGTGAGATAGAGTAAGTGTGATTGCTATGATTTGACATAGCTTCACTGGCTTTGTAACTGCTGTTCGTGGGCATACACAAAGTTGCTGCCCTGGAGGTTGTCTTTAATTAATTAGCTTGCTTTCCTTTTTTTTTCCCCCGGAAGTTTGCTTTCTTTACTAGAATAAACCGTCCTTCAAAACTTTGCACATTTAATTATGCAAGAAAACATTTTTTTTTTAGTTCAGAGAAAAGCTGCATTTAGAAATGTTTCAGTGACCATAAATTTCAATTGCAAAGTGGTGACATTTTACGGTAACTTAACTACAGGAGATGTTCACAGCCCAACCCCTTTCACAACTCTTACATTCTTTGAGAGCTGACTCGAGGTTCTCGAAGAACAAAGTTATAGAGGCAACATTCTGTGAAATAGGGCGCACTTATGTTTCTCCCTGTTTTTATTTTTCTGTGAAAAAGCTCGGCCTCTGAGAACACTGTTGATTTTAAGTGCAAGAAAGCATACACGAAGAAGGAGGTCCCAGAAACCCATTATGTATTATAGGTAAAGAGTCTGCTGAGGAAACGCTTTCTGAATATAAATTCACACAATAATTCTAACAGATAAATAGTTGACTTTTAGAGAAGACACAGCTTAGGTTTCGAGCAGGACATGCAACCCAGACATGTAACCTTCCACGTCTGTATGCTGTCCTCCCTTAAACATACTTTTGGAACCAGTGAGACACAGATTCCCGCATAAGGCGGGCCCCCAGGGTCAGTTCATCTGACTTCCACTCTCAGCTGTGCTGGACTGGGGGCTGTTTCAGACGGAGGCCACGCCCACCACATGCCTGCAAGCACCGCAGCACTACCGGGGCGGGGCCGGGGGCGGGGCGGGGGGCGGGGCCGGGGCAAAAGTCCCAGACTGAAAAGAAGCCAGTGGCGTGAGCCCACAGTCCAGCTCCTAGCCCTGGCTTACTTGTCGCCCTGTACGCAGCCCAGGACGGGAGGCAGAGAGGCCAGGCAGCGGCGGCTAAGGTGTGCAGCGCCAAGCGGAACTTCTGGTAGTTTCTCAGTGCCAGGGAGTCCGCCGCCTGCCAGAATTCAGGGAGGCGGTGATGTTTAACTGGGACCCCCCCGCAGGGCTGCAGCCTAGGAGTTAGGGGAAGCTAGAAATAGACCGCAACGTGCAAACATCGAATTGCAGCTCCTTATGCAGTCAGTCCTGGTTCTAAGGCAGTCTGCCTTTGCTGTGACTGGCACTGCCAGAAGCCAGGGGCGCCACGCAGCGTCTCTGGATTCTGTGCTCAGCACCTGGCCATCAGTGGGAGAACACCGCGCATGTCAGAAGGCAGGACCCAGGGAAAAACCAAACAAAACAAGCAATAACAGAGAGAATCTCGTAGTGATCTAGCTACTAGGATGACTGGACATGGGCTATAAAACAATGATAATTAACCGTTAAAATAACTGATGAAAAGATGGGTCATTTCATCAGAGAATCAGATTCTAGGAAGAGACCTGAAGAAAGGCTTGAAACGGAAACCAGTGTAGCGGAAGCGAGGAACTCGGCAGGTGAGTTTACCGGCAGGCTAGACCCAGCGGTGGAGAGAGAGGCTGTGGGCCCTGGTGTGAGGTCGTTCAGGGTGTCGGACTGGGGTGTGGAGGGACAGAGGGATGGGGGACGTACAGTGAAGAGTGCAGAGACACCCAGGACATAGGAAAAGGTCTGGCCCCACGCCCCTGGAGTCACAGAGGCAGGGGAGAGAGTGCATGGGGGCGGGGAGCCGTATCTGCATAGAGGCCTAGAGCTTTTTCTGAGCTCACGAAACACGGCCACAGCCTACAGGTGTGAGAAGGGCTACAACCCCCCTTGGGACAAACACGAGGAGGAACCTCATGTAGGGCACCTGCTAGTCGACCCTCAGAACACCAAGGGAGAAAAACTTTAGAAGGAAGAAAAGATGTATTATCTTTTTTTAAAGATTTTATTTATTTTTATTTTTAGAGAGGGAAGGAAGGGAGAAATAGAGAGAGAAACATCAATGTGCGGTTGCTGGGGGTCATGGCCTGCCACCCAGGCATGTGCCCTGACTGGGAATCGAACCTGCGACACTTTGGTTCACAGCCCGCGCTCAGTCCACTGAGCTACACCAGCCAGGGCTTGTATTATCTTCAAAGAAGCAAAACCAGAGCTGACTTTTCAAGGAAGGGGAGACTGGAAAGAAGAGCTAGAGGGAAAGAGAACCCTCACCTGCAGTGTCGTGCCCGTTGGAACCGCTTCCTCGGAGCAGGGGAGACAAGACTTCTTCCCAGCAAGGCAGCCCCGGCACGTGCCGCCTTGTCCTGCTGACGTCCTTCACGAGAAAGTGGTGCGAATTTCACGGAGGCAGCTGCAGAGCATTCAGCCCCACGTGGAGGGAGGGGCACCTGAGCGCAGGTCCGTGTGTGGCACCACCTGTCACAGCCCTGGGAAGCTGGCCTGGGGCCGGGGCGGGCACTGGACTTACGCAGCACTCACCTGAGCCGTTCCTAGAGATAGATGTACTGTGTGAGGGGCGACAAGTTATATCATTGTAAGTCCTTACATTTGCACAACGTGATCTGTTAAAAAAAAGCAGTCACGTTTCCTTAAATAAAATCAGCGCTAAGCGTAGTAGGCAGAGCTGTGGTCCCCAAGAAGACTCCAGGCCCTGCTCGCCAGGACAATGGACACCATGTGTCATTGTGCCGGGAATGAGCCGGGTGGCTGAAAGGACGTTGCAGATGTAATGAAGGTTGTGAGGCTGACCTTCCGTTGACCTTAAAATGGGGTGGGTAGCCTGGCTTGTCCAGGTGGGCCCAGTGTAATCACGGCAGCCTTTAAAAGCAGAGGCAGGCGTGCAGGGAGGGGGGTGCTGCGGGAGTCGGAGGTGGGGGCTGGTTCGGAGGGTCAGGGGTCAGGGGTGGAGTGAAGCAGGCTGCCTCTAGACCAGGGGTCAAACCCATTTTCACTGGGGGGGCCACATCGGCCTCGCGGTTGCCTTCAAAGGGCCGGATGTAACTTTAGGACTGTGTAAATGTAACTCCTCCTTAACTAGGGGCAAGGAGCTCGGCGCTGCCTCCAGGTAGAAACAAGGTTCGGCCCTCGGGCCTTGTGTCTGCCCCCTGTGCTCTAGAAACTCAGAATGACGCTGACCGAAGGCCAGCAGAGAGATGAGGACCTCAGTCCTCTAACCACACGGAACTGAATTTTGCCAGCAACCTCATCAGCCAGGACACGGATTCTCCTCACGTCCAGAGGAGGGCCCAGACCAGCCAACACCTGGATCTTGGCCTTCTGCGACCCTCAGCAGAGTGCCCGGCTGGTCTGCCTGACTTCTGTCCCAGAGAGCGGTGGAGAGCGACGAGTTGCTGCGTACATGTTATTTTAAACCCTCCCATTTGTGTTAATTTGTTGGAGTGGTGACCGAAAATGGTGGTGTTAAATGCAAACAGTTCTATCACTGTCTGAAAATGTATAAGGAAATAAACTTTTACAAAACAGTCTTATCAAACATTTGAAAAACACTGACTATATTGAACTGCTGGGCTAATTAATTAAAAATTATTATTTTCTTTTACATAACACACATCCTCTGCCCGATGAGTGCTTGGTGCTTGAGTCCAGGACAAGGCTCTGGGAGATCCCACTTTCAGCTGCGTTGCCTGCTAATTGGCTGCGCGACCTTGCCCAGGTGGTCTTAATTACTCCCCGGGTCGGTTTGGGTATTTGCAAAATAAAAACAGACTAGTTGATCTGAGGCCTCTTCCATTAAAAAATTGCATACAAATATCTTTAGCGATGGAGAAGGAATCTTTAGGAAGGTGGATGTCAGAATCAGTCCCTCAGAATATCAGAAAAAAGTGTTGCATGTTTTTAAAGCTAGAGTTCAAGCTGGTTTGAGAGTTTTGAAAGAAGGCTAATCATGGTGGACACTGAATGCCGGGGCTTATTTTGCTCCAAGGCATTGAATGATTTTATGTGCTCATTAAGACGGTCTTTTGTGACTTCCGGCCAAGATGGAGGCATAGGTGGACTCACTGTGCCTCCTCGCACAACCAAGATAGGGACAACAATTTAGAACAGAATAACAACCAGAACTGACAGAAAATTGATCTGAAAATGGAAGTTGGACAACCAAGAAGTTAAAATAGACCCATTCATTCAAACTGGTAGGAGGGGCAGAGCCAGGCAGCCGGGCTCAGGGCTCAGGTCGCAGCGCAGAGAGCATTGGGACCAGGCGCGTAGGGCATCCGGATCGCGCAAGACCGCAGCAGGTGGACCCTGAGCACGCAAGCAGCAGCTGGCAGACCCAGCGAGGCGGTGATTGGAAAGCAAGGCACTGCGCGCAACCCAGGGTCCCAGCGCTGGGAAACAGAGCCTCAGGACACTGATTGAAAACAC